TGTTCAACACAATGGGATTGATTTTAGGGCAAGAATTATAATCATAATCTGATTTGAGCTCAAGAATTGAATATACAGAGTGATAATTCGAAAACAAGATGCAGGGAAAAGGGGATCTAGTGTGATGCATTAACACGAATAAAGGGTCAGAAAATATACCATAAAAACTTGTACAAACCATTTTTACGCGAAAAATGGACTTAATTGGCAATCTTGAAAGAATTTCCACCATAATTTCTCTCGGAAGGTCCATAAATTTGGTTGGAGAGACTTCGTGTTTACCTTCTTCGTTTGCAATCACTCTTACATGAACTTCATTTTGGTTTCTTCTTTGAGGTTTAGGGAAATGGGAAGTTCGAGATATTGCTGATGAGGGATTCTTGGCATCCATTTTTTCTCTGGTTTTTTCTTTCAGTGAAGAAGACAGAGATTTTAGCAGGGGATTTTTGGCGCGGAAAATTAACTCTTATCCCTTTAGGTTGGCGGGAGTTTAATAGAGGTAAATTCCCATTTTGAAAAATTAAAATGATACTCCCTCCGTCCCTATTTACTTCGATAAATATTTGATTTCCGTTTTTACTTGTCATTCTTTGACAAGCGAAAGGATAATTTTTTTCTTCTTATTATACACTATCTAGGCGCCCTCGAAGGAGGGGTCCCACAAACTTCTTCCCCGAAGGTCAAGCCGTAGTTCTTGTCCCTGGAAGAAGTGGAAGGAGTTCTCTCAATTTATTAACCTTGAGTTAATGTCTTTGAAAAATGTAGTTAGTAAATGTGTTTAAAACTCTATTAATTAATAGAAATAAAATTGTAAACTTATTATACCAATTATTATTTTCTTAGTAACTGTGTCAAATCAAAATTTGACAAGTAAAAAAGAGACGAAAGGAGAATATTTGGTACCAATTTTTTGTGTTCCCTAGAGTATGCATAAGTATACACTTAAATTATTAAAAAATTGAACAAGTAGACACAAGCCTTCTATACGACAATTTGTGTCCTACATTGAATCCTACATGTGACAATTCACGTCTTACATGACATCCTACGTGTATAACGCTACGTAGGATGTGAATATCTATTTACTCGTGGACCTTCAAAATTAGAGGACATATTAAGTGAAAGTTGAAACAAAGTTAAATAACATATTCATGTATTATGCCTTTAAAAAATGTGAAAATTGACAATTTCCCTTTTGTTTTGAAAGTAAAACTCTAATTAACCGCACCTTAAAACTCAATTTAGCTCTCGAACTATATAATTCTCGTCACATTCAACTAATATAAATTGTTATTCTCCTTTGTGCTCCTTTCTCTTAAAGAAGATAGTTGTCTGATTTGAATGTTATATGAATGATTTATCTTAATTTGCTCTTTTGAAGTACTTATTTATATTCTAAATTATCAAATTTCATTTTTTTTTCTATTTGTTTTCATATCATATTTTTTGTTAGTGACTTACCTATAGAATAGATAAAAACATTATTTTGGGAAAAAGGAGGTAGAAATAGCAACACTTGTTATGGAATCGAAAAAATAGAAAGAAAAATAAGGAAGAATGAATGATAAGTCGCTTTATTGTTTCTTGAATTGATTTAAATAGAAAAATACATTACTAAATATAAGTCATTAAGCAAAATAAAATAAGAAAAAATATTTTTTTACGGATATTAAACTAAATATTTTATAATTAATATAAAATTTATACTTGAAAGGGAAGTAAATATTCTAAAATATTCGTAGACTAAAAAGGAAGTAAATATTCTATTCTATCTCATTATTACTATAAAACATAAAGTAGAAGGAAAATAAATTTTAACAATCCTTAATTATTACTAATAAATAGAAAATCTTATTTATCCCCAAAAAAAATTGGTGTGCACCCCAAGATAGGATAAGTTTTTAATTTTCTTTTTGTGAAAATGACTCGAGATAGGACTAAATAAAACAAAATTATTCTGGACTTAGGCAGCTTCTTGGTGATCATCTGATTTTTTAAGCATGGCCGATATCACAAGAATGGGAGTTGTTGGCGCCGGCCAAATGGGCGCCGGAATTGCTCAACTCGCCGCCGTCAACGGCGTCGACGTTTGGCTTTACGATTTGGATTCTGAAGCTCTTACTAAAGCCCACAAATCTATTTCCAATAATATTCAACGTCTCCTCACCAAAGGACAAATCTCTCAGGTATTATTACTCCTTCCATTTGAGTTGAAAGCTTTTGTAAATTGCTTGCTTTGAATTTTACGTTTTTAATAAGATTTTGCTTGCTTTGAATTTTACGTTTTGGAGTTCCGGAATATATGGTCAGAATTGACTCCTCAAATTTTATGATATCACAAATTTTGGGAATGTTTGAAAAATTCTTGTGAAAAAAGCTTATTTGATTCCCAAAGTTGTACTACTTACTCTATGGAAGAGTTGTTTAGGGTTAATTTGGGAGTAATTTATAAGAAATGTGAACAGTGATGAGTTCTTTCTTGTGTTTGATGATCTATGATATAAAACAGGCAACGAGTGTGGATGCTGTAAAGCGTCTTCGTTGTTCATCGCGCTTGGAAGATTTACATTCAGTTGATATTGTTGTTGAGGCTATTGTGGAATCTGAACAAGTGAAGAAATCTTTATTTGCTAACTTGGATAAGATTGTAAAGAGTTCTGCTATTTTGGCTTCTAATACAAGCTCTATTTCCATTACTCGTCTAGCATCTGCTACGTGCCGACCTTCCCAGGTTTGCTTCACTTGGCTGTTGATCAATTATAGACTGAATGATGGCATATGAAACTTATTGAAAATAGGACAACTTTATTGATATGCAAATATGTGTGTTAAAGTTCAGTAAAGTGCCAAGATTCAAACAATTGCACTAGTCTTGCTTTATCTATATCTTGTTGTCTTTCCTTTTAGACTTTCGGAATCTCAATATCTAGGCACTCTTGCTTGAACTGGTAGGATTTCTTGTGGTTGTGTTATGGTTGCTTTAGTGTGTATGTCCCATCTTTACTAGTCATCACCTGTAAAAACATATAGAATGTTGGTAAGGTGAGGGAATAATCGTTCGTCAGGTCAATGAAATGGGTGGTAAGGTTGACGGTGTAAGGCTCCTCACTGCTAACCAGAAGACAAGGAACTAACAAGACTTTTAGTTGGCTGCTAAAAAGCAATATTGGAATGTCAGTTGATGTGAATAAGGGTAAAGAAATATGTCTGAGGAGCAGCGGTCACAATAATGGATAGGGAACCGTATTTCTCAAAGTGATGGTTTGAAGGAGGATTAATTTGGTCATAAAAAGGTTTTAGTTCACGTCAGATCTAGAACAGAATCAGGCACTAGTAGTCATTTGCCTTTCCCAATGTGCTCTGTCTATCTATCTCTGTGCCTCTTTTATGTAAACTCTAGTTACACGAATCCATCAACTGCTTAGAGTCTCTATTCACTGCTCATATATCTTTTCTCTTTTTGTGTGTGTGTGTGTTATGTTTTCATGGGCAGGTGATTGGCATGCACTTTATGAATCCTCCACCGATTATGAAGCTGGTTGAAATTATCCGTGGTGCAGATACATCAGAAGACACATATTGTGCGACTAAATGCCTGGCAGAGAGGTGACTGATAGGAAAACCCTGCAACTAGGATTTAAATAGAGATGCATGTCTCCTCAACAGTTAGAAATTTTCTGTCATGAATGCTTACACTTTCAGATACGACAGCCATATATAATCTACATGCCTTGTGGGTATAATATTTCCCAACGTTTCACCGCCCCCAAAAACAAATCTCTCATTCTGTAGCTGCAAAGCTTCACCTTTACAGAAATGATTAAAACTCTCTCCTAAATCGTTTGGCCCAAATGAATCTTAAAAAAACTGTTTTCTTGATGAAGGCTGTTGTGCTTGGGCCAAATGTGTCCCTGTTAAGTGGTTGATAGATGTAGCCGAAAAAAGGAGAAAGTGGTCTTTGTTATGTCCCTATCTCAAGATTTGAGATTGTTTGGCATCTATAGTATCTCTACATAAACTACTTTCTGATTTATCTATTATTTGCAGGTTTGGTAAGACAGTTATCTGCTCTCAGGATTACTCTGGCTTCATAGTAAACCGAATTTTGATGCCTATGATAAACGAAGCCTTTCATACACTGTACACCGGTGTTGCAACAAAAGAAGATATCGATACAGGAATGAAACTAGGAACCAACCATCCTATGGGTCCTCTGGAACTTGCAGATTTTATCGGACTGGATGTTTGTTTGTCAATCATGAAAGTTCTTCAAGCCGGTCTAGGGGATGATAAATATGCCCCATGCCCTCTCCTTGTGCAGTATGTTGATGCTGGTAAGCTTGGTAAAAAGCGAGGCGTTGGAGTATATGACTACCGTGATGGTGCTGCGAAAATAGGAGGATCGCCTCGACTCTGAACTCCTTGCCCTTGGAATTTATGAAACAGATTACAAATTGTTGAAACACTCCCTACAATTCAATAAAAGAGAAAAAAAAATGACAGTGTAATTGTTCTCATCTTATTGCATAGCTTCTGTTGTGGCAAGTCTAGACTTGTTGCCAATTCCTCCCTCATTTTTGTATTACATCCTGCAACTACTAATGATCCAAGTTGGTGCCAACGACAACAAACCCAATGTAATCCCATAAGTTGGATCTAGAGAGGGTGGTGTGTACGTGAAACTGTTCCTTAAGCTGGGGCCATTGTATTAAAAATCAATTTGGCCATAGTAATATTAAAGTAAAAGCTAACAATCAACCTTAATTAAATTAAATTCCCTAATACCATTAGTACGTTACCTTTATCCATGTGCTTTATATCAAACACATACAGTCAATTTCATATAGACTATATATAACAACATATTCGCCCTGAAACCTTCATTTCAGTTTCATTTTCTTCTCACTTCTTCACTAATTTCAGTTTCTTGTCCATTTCATTTGTCCCCCTTCTTTATTTCTATGTGTTTTTGTGACATTTTCTGTATCTGTACAGTTATTAAAATATCATAGTAAGAAAATCTCTTGCACGTTTTGAAACAGAAGAAAATTTCAACTTCCATGGCACTACAGAGACATGTTCCAGTATTAGTCCTACTGCTATTTTTTTGGTCTAGCTCATCGGATGCATATCAATTCGAACTTGGTGGCGTAGATGATTGGATTGCTAACCCTCTTGAATCGTTCGATCAATGGTCTCAACTAATAAGAATTCAAGTTAATGACACTCTTTGTAAGTATCATCATCCTATGTTAATCTGTTTAATTTGTTTATATGACAAGATTTCATGAATTGATCTTTGTAATTGTTCGTTTTTTCTTTTCGTGTTTGTATGTGTGACACAGTGTTTAAGAATAAGAAAGGATCAGATCTGGTGTTGGAGGTAAACGAAGATGATTATGACAAGTGCATTATAGAACATCCGATCAAGAAAATGGAAGATGAAAACTCTGTTTTCGAATTTCATCGTTCAGGTAGTTTTTATTTTGTTAGTGGTAATAAGGATAAGTGTAAAGAAGGACAAAAGTTTGTTATTGTTGTTGCTGGTATGATGCTGCCTCCTTCAACTCCGGTACCGTCACTTGCTCCTGTTGGTTCTCACTTATCTCCGAAGGCACATGCACCAGAAAAGGCTCCAATTGGGGTGTCACCTGGCCCTGTACCGGTGCATGTTCCTCGGGGTACTAGTTCAGGCTCACCTCAAATAAGTCATTCACCAGGGGTGGCTCCAACGTTGGCCTCGCCTGGTTCTACTAGTTCTCACTTATCTCCAGTTTCTAGTGCACCCGAAGAGGATCCAATATTCGGGTTGTCACCTGCCCCTACAGATTCTCACTCATCTAGTACGGGCCATGCACCTGGAAAGGCACCAACACCGGTGCATGTGCCTCGAGGTACTATTTCCGATCCACCTCAAACAACACATGCACCAGGGATGGCTCCAACACTAGAGTCGTCCCATGGGGTTCCAAGTGCTAGTACACATCACTCTCCCATAAAGGCTCCAACACCGTCATCATCCCATGTGCCTTCCGGTTCCCATTTAGCTCCAATGGCTCTATCACCAACTTTAGCTAATGTGCCTTCGAGTAGTGGTTCACACCTATCTCCTGAAACTCATGCACCAGGAAACGCTCCAAGTGGTGCGTCACTTGCCCCTACTGGGTCCCACTTATCTCCAACAACACATGCACCCGAAAAGGCTCAAACACCTGCATTATCACATATGTCTCCAAGTCCAAGTTCACACCTATCTCCAGCAGCTCATGCACCAGCAAAGACTCCAACCGGGGCATCACCTGTTCCTGCTGGTTCTCACCAATCTCCAATAGTTCATGCTCCTGGTAAGGCGCCAACACCGGCATCATCAAATGTGGATCGAGGTATTGGTTCCCACTCACCTTCCGTTAGCTAGATCGTTTATAGACTTCTTTCAATTCTAAAAATTTAGGCCTTTTATGAGAAATGACTAAATGTCAATTTACAATATATTAAGGCTTTGTTCGATCTTGAAATAAATTCGCTTATATTTCCCCAAATAGCACTCACATGAACATTACTTATATCAACTCTTCTCTTTTGACAGCTCGTGCACCTGGAAAAGCTCCAACTGGGGCGTCACCTGTGCCCGCGGGTTCCCACTCATCTCCAACTGCTCAAGCACCTGTCGAGGCACCAACTCCAGTATCGTATGTGCCTCGAGGTACTGGTTTATCTCCTATGGCACATGCACCTGGAAAAGCTCCATCCGGGTCATCACATGCATCTGATGGTTCTCACTCATCTCCAAAAGCTCATGCACCTGTAAAAGCACCAACACCGATATCCAATGTTCCTCGAGGTACTAGTTCACACCCACCTTCTACGGCTCATGCACCAGGAAAAACTCCATATGGGTCATCACATGCACCTGATGGTTCTCACTCATCTCCAAAAGCTCATGCACCTGTAAAAGCACCAACACCGATATCCAATGTTCCTCGAGGTACTAGGTCACACCCACCCTCTACGGCTCATGCACCAGGAAAAACTCCATTTGGGTCATCACATGCACCTTCTGGCTCTCACTCATCTCCAAAAGCTCATGCACCTGTAAAAGCACCAACACCAATATCCAATGTTCCTCGAGGTACTAGTTCACACCCACCTTCTACGGCTCATGCACCAGGAAAAGCTCCATCTGAGTCATCAAGTGCACCCGTAAAGGCTCCAACACCAGTATCATCAAATGTTCCTCGGGGTACTAGTTCACACCCACCTTCTACGGCTCATGCACCCGGTAAAGCTCCACTTCAGTTATCTCCAAAAGCTCATGCACCCGTAAAGGCTCCAACACCAAAATCATCAAATGTCCCTCGGGGTACTATTTCAAACCCACCTTCTATTACCCATGCACCCGTAAAAGCGGGGCCAACACCTGCACCCTCACATGTTCCTTCCAGTCCTCGCTCACACCTAAACCCGATTGCTAATGCACCTAAAACCGCTCCATCGCCAACAACTTCGAAAATATCCCAAAATCCTAGCTCAGGCCTATCTCCAACGGCTCATGATGAATCCTCACCTTCCATTTCACCAACAACAGCGAAATCATCCAACGAATCTTCTCCAATTTCATCTTCTCCGTCATCAAGTACGCCGCGATCGGGAGCGAATTCCCCGCCGGAAAGTATTGCTCCGGCGTCCTCCGGCGACAATATCTCGGCGGACATTGATTCACCAGCTAGTTCACCACTCAGTTCTGAATCAGCAGCAGAGAAAGCATCAATTACTCCTCCTATGTCAACAATGTCACTCTTTTTTACTCTAATTTTGGGATTAATAATTTAACTTAGAAATTAATTATACTTATACTTAATTTGGTTTTCTTCTTTCTTTTTGTGTTAGTTAATTTTGATTATTTGAATTACAGTTGTATTGGGCTGTTTAGTTGTTATCTTTTGTTTAATTTTGTGTGTTACATGAACTTTTAATATATGAAAGTATACACTAATTTTCCTCTGATTTACTCTTTTCCTTTTAACATATTAACCTAATCATTCTTTTCATATTAGTCAGTGTTTTTAGCTTGGACATATTTTTGAAAGAGAAGAGTATATGCATAATTTATTGGCTTTACCTAGAGAGATGTTGTTTGTGAAGCACCCTCGATTCAAAGAAGGAATTTTATGGATTTGGCTCCTGTCCAGTGGATGTAGCATCCAGTTGGTCTAGTGCCCCTTTCATCTGTGGCCATCTGTCACATAATAATCTAAGGGTCAATAATTATTCAACCTAAACAACCTCTTAAATCATGGTTAAGCTACAATATCTTTTTTAATATGCTCAGTTTTTTTTATCCGATGATAAAAATTAATGGTATGTTGAATTTTTTCAATTTTTTTTTTCACGTTCTTCCCAAAAAATCAATTAATTTCCATCACAAACCCAATTTCTTTCAAATTAAAAACTCAATTATTTTCATATTATTTAATAACTCTTCCCAGATTTCTCTATATATTCAACTTCTTAACAAAATTAAAGTGCATCACAATATATATATATATATATATATATATATATATAAAATCATGAAATCTGCCACAAGAAATAATTTCTACAGCTAAATTATATTATTGTTCTTGTTTCTCGCTACCAGACGGTTAAGAGAGAGTAAGAGATTTCTTCGATACTCTAGTTCTTCATAATATTATAAATAGGACATTATATTGATATTCGTTAATACGAGATGAAAAACTATATAGTAACTAAGTATGTATCTAACACCTTTCCCATAAAGAAAATTATTGGTTCTCAACTACAAAGTGCAAATAGCTTCTGCCCATTTACTTTCACTCCATCACTTTTAAGGCCTAAGCAATACAAGCCAAAATGTACCAAAAGAAATCACTGTTGGACAATCAAATAAGTAACCCTGAGGGGTAGCTCAGCTGGTAAAAGCCTGGGACAAAGTCCTTCAGGTCGCCGGTTCGAGCCCCCAGCAGGGCCACTGGAGGCATTACAAACCGGCTGCGTCTCCAGGGCCCCGTGGAACTAACCGTGGTGGACCCGCCTTGAAACAGCGGGACCCGGTGGGTACAGCTAGTCGGGTTCGCAAAGCGACGCCCGGAAACCACGGTAAAAAAAAAAAAAAAAAAAGACAATCAAATAAGCAACACAACAAACTTGCATTAAATTGTAGATTGTAAATAAAAACTTCAAGCCAAATACACCAAAAGAACTCTCTGTTATTGCCTCAAAGAACAATAATCAAACCTCAATTAAATTATCAATTGTCAATATGACGACGATAAACTGCCACTAGATTGTTCCAAAAAAATAAATAACTGGTGGGAAAACAATTAATATGAAAATAATTGAGTTTTTAATTTGAAAGAAATTGGATTTGTGATGTAAATTAATTGATTTTTGAAAAAAAAAAAACGTTAAAAAAAAGTCCGAAAAATTCAATATACCATTAATTTTTGTCGCCGGATAAAGAAAACGGAGCAGTGATTGAGCAAATACATGTCGTTAATATGGAAAAAAAAGATATTAAAAAGATACGGTGGCTTAAGCATGGTTTAAGAGGTTGTTTAGGTTGAATAATTATTGACCCTTAGATCATTATGTGACAGATGGCAGCAGATGAAAGGGGCACTGGACCAACTGGATGTTACATCCACTGGACAAGAGTTGAATCCGAATTTTATTAACTTACCTTTAATTAAATAGCTACGTATTCAATATAGTCACACTTGTTATGGAGTAAATTGTTCAAATGTTGAAAATTATATAAAATTAATTTTTTTGATAAAAAAAAATCATCACTTTTTTATCCCCATATTACACTAAAAGTTTTTATTCCCTCGTTTCAAAATAAGTGTTAACTTAACAAAAATAATGTTTAATTTATGAAGAAATGTTTATATACAATGTATAGTTATATCACATCGAAAGTTACTTGATTGGATTTATTCGACTAACTTGTTATTATTGAACTACGGTGGTAGTGTAAAAATATTGATATAGCTTATGATATTTAAGAAATTAACGCAAAAAACTTGAAACATATTACTTGGAGTATTTCGTACTTAGATCTGTCAAAAAGACATAAACAAGGCTTAATTAGTGAATTACCATGATCGGGAAACTAAAAAGGTGTGCAAAGTTGTACATCCCTAAATATTGATCGTGATTAATTACCTTTAAAACTACGTTCAATTAAAGGAGGGAAAATTAGCAAATCCCAAAACATTGATTGAGAGCAATGCTCTAAAGCTACGTTCAATGATTTAGTAGCTTCATTCATTTTAGTCGGCCTGATTTGACATTTTCATTAAGAAACTAATTTTTCGTAGTTATGTTTGCTTTTACTTATTCAATATACTAAAAATACTTTATTTTTATTTGTCACTCTTAGTATATCAAGAAAATCATATTCTTATACATAAGTTACGTAGGAATCAAGATATGCCTCTTATGGCGTAATTTGTGGGTTCTGAAATTAAGCTCTTATCTCGTTCAACATAAGTTATGTAGGAAATATGTTATGACATTTAAGTCATTGTTATATTATGATTATCACAGAATTAAAAATTATTAAATTTTAAGAGGAAAAATTAATCATCCCAAATAAGGATATTTGTGCAAAATCATAATACATAAATATATCATTTAACTTCACTTTAGCTAACATCTATGCCCTTCAACTTTGAGTATACATAAGTAGACACTAAATCTGGTATAATATTAAACAAGTAGATACATACATTCTACGTGACAATATACATAGGACGTCATGTACACGTAGAACATAAATTGTAATGTAAGATGCTATGCAGGACATTTATGTCTATTTATTTAATTTTATACAAATTTAAGTGTCTATTAGTGCAGACCCAAAATTCAAAGACATAAATAATAATTAAGGCAAAGTTAAAAAAAACACGTTTATGTATTATGCCGTGTGCGCTTTCCTTCTTCGTGTGTGGGTCAAGTATAATGGGCTAACCTAAGTATGATCTAATATGGCCCAATAAATATCATGCCATCCTCTTCTTCTTATTTTTTCATTTGGACTAGTTGCGACTTCTGAGGTAAAAAAAAATAAATCTAAGATTTATTTTCACACTTTTTTAGTTCTTTTTTCTCCTATTCAAATTATTATAAATCATTAGTATATTGAACCAATTCTTATTAATTGTTCTTGTCGGACAAGTATGGGGGATATTAGACTTTGGCATGGTTTTCCTAATTTCACAGTCTGACAAACAAGTAAAAAAGGAAATATTAGTTAGTTACATTCCAAATTTACATCAATAATTCCACATGCAAAAAATAATACAACATTGGATGTCAACCAAGAAAAAGGAAAAATGAAAAAGAGAAACAAGAACAATATATTCAGTGTAATTTTATAAATATGGTGTGAGAAAAACAAGGTATACGTAGATCTTACTTTTATGACTCGTGAGATAGAAATGTTATATCCGATAATTCCTTGACTCAAAAAAATAATAATTTAAAAAGACGGGCTTGACAAATACACTAGTAAAAGCTACGGTGCTCCATCACTACTTCCTCCGTCCCATGATGAACATTATTTGTCCCATATTACCTGATCACTTATTAAATCAGGGTAGAATTAATTAATTTTTCTCATTTTACTCCTACAATTAATATGACCTTTGGAAGTTTATTTCTTTTTTCAAGAGGCTAATTAATATGAAAAAAAAAACAAAATAGTAAAATTGATCAAACTATTAATGATTTCTTAACTATCGTGTAAAATAGATAGTGTACATCTAATATGAGACGGAAGGAGTAATAATTAAAATAAATTATCATTGCACAAAAATACAATAATTAAACAAATTGCATATTGAGAAACCATGCATATATGCACCATAACTTCTTATTATGTACGTAAATACGTGAATTACTCTTTGTCACAAAAAATTCAAATGCCACAAACCACAAGTTTTTAACCTAAAATATCTCCACCACAAACCATTTCTCATGTCTCCACAATAAGCTTTACCTTATTTCTTCTTCATTTCACTTTCACATTTCACCCATCCTTTTAACCTCCTTTTCCCCTCATGTTTTCATTCTAAAGGAAGGGCAAAAACAACAAAAAAAAAATCTCACAAAAATATAAAATTAAACAAACAAACAACAAGAGTCGCATTACTCACATCAATTCCTCAAGATGGCCACTCGACCAATCTTTGTTTTCATGCTCCTTGCCACCCTGGCATTCGCCATGGTTGCAGAGTCCTCGTCCTCCTCCTCCTACTTCAACGACCCTGCAGTCAATACACTCGGCCACAGTTCTGGTGGTGGCCTTGATGAATTGATGACTGCAGGTCGTATCGGGGACACATTGTTTGATGATGAAGAAATGATGATGCCGACAGAGTCAGCCCGTAGGGCCCTCAATAGTCGGGACCACATCAGTTACAGGGCGATGTCGAAGAACGCCATCCCCTGTGACCGACGTGGCGCATCTTACTACCAGTGCACCCGCATGCAGAAGATTCGGCCTTATAGACGCGGCTGCAGCAAAATCACCAGATGCCAACGTCGTTAAAAACGTTATGTTTTATTCCGGTTGCATGGTACATTATGAATGTACCAGGCAACCAAGGAATAAAAACGATTTTTTGCGATCATCGCAAAAAGATAAAAAATATATAAACTAATAAATACTCGGTGAACATTTCGTCATTTAATTGCGACTATATATATATATATACATACATAATATATATATACTAACATAAACATGGAATGGATATAAATTTGCTAATTAAGAAGCTTTTGTTTGTCCATTCCATATATTATTTTAACTTCCTTTCATGATGTTTACATTGTGTACTTTTGTGCCATCATTTGAAGATGATTCATTGATGGTGAAGAATTTGTAAATTGGTGAAATAATATATTTACAGATTCTCCGTATATTTCTTCTTCATTTTTTAATTTGATATGTAATATTCATATGTTTTAATTTGTTTGTCGTACTTTCTTTTTTTAATATGTTTGAAAAAAGAATGTCTTTTTTTTTTAACAATTCTTTAATTCTAACTTTTCATATAACATTCGTTTGATTGACATTTTGGTATATTCTAAATATCTTTAGTTTAAGATCATAAGATGAAAAAAAATTCTTCACTTTTTAAAACTCTATATCAAATTAAAATCAGACAAACAAACAAATTGATACGTAAAATGGAATCCACAACACCAATATGATATATAATAAAATGGTGCAAATGTTGCCCTCTAGCTCCGAGACAATATCACAATGGCAGATCCAGAATTTTCACTAAGTATGTTCAAGATATAAAAAATAAATTAGACTTTTAAATATTCAAAAATGAATTGAGGCTTAAATGTTGATAACCAGATTCAAATTCAGGTGTTTTGGAAAAATTTGAACCCCTAGGCTAGTGTTGCACTTGTATAAATGGAGTCAAAATTTAATATATACCTATATAATTTCAAAAATTCATTATATATAATGTTATTTTACAATGAAATGGATTCATATGAACCCAGTTGATCCTACGTAGGTCCACGCCCCTAATGTAACAAGTCTAATTCCGCCCTTGCAGGGCAAATAGGATTGCGTATTGGTCGATTTGGTTCGATTTTGAAGTTTATCGGTTTGACTTATTGATTATTAGTTTGTAGAGATGCTAAACCATTATAGAACCATTAAGATAATGCCTTATCGGTTATTAATTGTTATTGGTTTAACCGTTAAGATTTGACACAAAAAAAATCATTGAAAATCACTTAGAAACAAGGTAACAAACCAAATAAACCATGCACATGAGTTTACAAGTTACACCTTGCTCAAAAGCAAACACTTTTACATTGTAGAATAACTAAGAGTTTGAGACAACCAGAAATAAAAGTAGGAAATCCAACTCTAAGTCAAAGACTTTATATACAAAATGGTATAAATATAATTATTTAATTTACTATTGGGTTATCGGTTAACCCATTTAAAAAAAACCTCAAACCGTTAAGAACCGATAATCCAATAACAAAAAGAAAATCAAAACCGTCATCAAAAGTCAAAACCACTAAATCAATAACCCATCATTGATAAATTAATAACTTTTTTTCTATTCGAATTATCGATTTCGATTTGATTTTGAACGACCCTAAAGGTAAATTTATAGCCTAAATATAGGGTACGTGAATCCACAACACTAATATTACATATAATAAAATGATGCACTTGGTTGAATGTCGCGTCTAGCTGACAATGTCACAAGTCCTGTGCCACATGACCCACGCCGTGAAAAACGTTTGTAGGAAGTGCACGCAATTTGGATGAGCTGATGCATATAGGCCCATAAATGATGTGCCTTTTTTTTAAAAAAAAAAAGTATATATACTCACCTAACCTAGTAACATCCTTATCTTATCTTTACGTATTTTTTATTTTTGATATTTGATACTTACATTAAAATTCAACTAATTTAGTGTATGTCACTTAAAATAGGCTAAAGAAAAAAAAGAAATTCTTCGACTGCACCACATTCATTGACCATAATACAATAACCACCTACCATTATTGCATTCTAGTTTTAGTAATTTTGATTACACAGAATCAGTCTCCATCCTGATTTTACAAAATGATAAAATAACATAATGCTAAATGGCCAGAAAATTTTGTCAGAATTTGGCTAGAATAGTAAAATAACATATTTCACACTATGTTATTTTATCTTTTTGAATATTTTCACCATTTTAACTTTAATGTCTTTTAATTAAAAGATGAAAAAAAGATCAGTTTATTTTAAAATAAAAAAGATATTATAGATTTTTTAAATTTCTGACAAAATTCTTGCCAAATTTTCTGGTCATTTAGCATTACCCATTTTCTAAATCAATCCGATAATTATTATTTCCACACGTGAAACATAGATATCACGTCAGATCCTTTTTCCTAGTATCATTTTGTGAAATCAATAAGAAGAAAAAAAATACTTCTCAGCTCCAAATTATTGAATTTAGGGGTCGTTATAGATGATTAGGAGCTAATTTATTCATTGTTAAATCTTGCATAAATAGTAATAATATTATGTTTTACTTATTTAATAGTAGGTTGTTTATGTTAGGTATAAAATTCGACACACTTAATAATATGATATTTAATTTGCAATTTAAAACTCGTATAGTTGTTTAATGCAGAATAGAAGATTGAAGAATTAATATTTGAATAACTAAATTTTACCTGATTAATACATAAATAAAATAATACGTACGTATAGTTATTTTAACTCCAATCAGCTACCCAATTACGCACCCATAATCTCAAACTTAATGCGATATTCCAACTTATTCCATATTGAACTAAACTAGTATGATATATATGTACATCTTCAATAATTTAAGACTCGTTCGGGCATAATAATTTTTTATTTTTTTCTTCACTTTATTTGATAATGAGCGTTTGATCGCTATATTTGAAACTTGAAAAACACCCAAAACTTTATTTTCACTTCTTTCAAATTTACCCTATGTTTTCTATTCTTATAAAATTAACCCTATTTAAAATATATTTCATGTTTAAATCAAATTTCATATTTTTTTAAAGGAAAAGTACATTTAAACGACTAAATATTATTTGTAAAAGTTATGCTCAAATATAACTTCTATCTTAACTCTAACTTCAAAAAGTAATTTTTTTTAATAATATATATTAAGTATGTGATTATTTATTTTGAGATGATACTCTTTTTAAAATAAATTTAATTAAGTGGAGTATTTTGACTATTGAAAATTCGAATTATTTTTTGTTTTGTTGGCGAAACGAATTAATCTCAAAATCCCGAAAAAGAATCTTTTCCTTCTCTCTTCATAATAAAGCAAATATGGCTGTGGCATCAGCAGCCCAATTGACTGCAAACGGAGCTCTGAAAATGGCGACTACCAGTCAAGCATATTTGGAAGGTGACAAGGTCAAAGAGACCAAGTCCTTAATCGCTGAGCTCTGCCGTCATTTCTACAATCAGGGATGGGTTTCCGGCACCGGCGGAAGCATCACCATTAAAGTACATGATGAATCCGTTCCTAAATCCGAACAACTTATCGTTATGTCTCCTTCTGGTGAGAAGAACCCATTTACGATCTTACCCAACTTTTTTATTTTTGGGTTTTGTTTGTTTGAGTTTTTTGTTGATGGGTTTTTTGTTAGGGGTGCAAAAGGAAAGGATGGTGGACGAGGATATGTATATTATGGCATCAGATGGGTCTATTTTATCTGCGCCGGTGGCTAAACCTACCCCTCATAAACCTCCTAAGTGTTCTGATTGTGCTCCTCTTTTTATGAAGGTATAAAGGTTTCTATGATCTTTGATGAAATACTAGTTGTTGTAGTTTTGTAAATTTAAGTTTTACCTATTGAAAAGTTGTGGAACTAAGGTATAGTGGAAGTTGAATTGCTGTTTTTGGTTAAAATTCAGAAGATAATTGAAGTTGGCGTTTATTCTCAGCTGTCTAAAGTTCATAGTTGAACAGGAAAAAATGTTATTTTTATCAGGGAATAATTGTTTTGCAGTCATGTGTATTTTGAAATATCGGAAACAGTGCTACTACCTTCCAAGGTAGGGGTATGGTTGAGTACTCTCCCCAGACCCCACTTGTGGGATTAGATTACACTGGGATGTTGTTGTATTGTAGATTGTTCTTTCTCAGTGTAATCGTTATGTTATCTGTAGTCCTTTCTTTGTTTTTGTCTAGCTCAACAAACTTAGCATATTTCATTTCTCGTGGGTTCTCCTCGGTATTATGTTATTATTTCTCTGCTGCCAGCTTTTAAATTTGCTTTGTCTCTCTAAATAATCTAGTAACAGCCAGGACCCAGGATTATTAGTGTTGTAGCCTGCAGTTTCTAAGATAAAGCATGACTTCTTTGGAATGGAGAGTGTGATCTCATAATAGTTGATCTATAAATGAATTCTCTTTTTCGTTTTGATGGACTATTTACTCCGCAGATTGTAAGTTTCTTCCTTTTTTCTTTTTTCCTCAGGCATATCAGATGCGTAATGCTGGCGCTGTTATCCACAGTCATGGAATGGAATCCTGTCTTGTAACGATGCTCAATCCACTAGCAAAAGAATTTCGGGTAAACATGCTACAAACTTTTGTGAAGTTAACACCATCTTGATGTGATTCCGATAATATCTTTTTGAGTCATCAAGAAAACAGAGACTCGGTAATGCTGAGCTCCAGACATTCAATTCAGTGCGTATAATGTTGACTACTGATATTTTGGCTTTTTATTTGAGAGTATGGATTTTCTTTCAACTAGAGATACTTTGCTTTTCCTTACATTATAAGAAGTGTAATCCTAATGCATCTTCCCTTTGCCTGCCACTGTATAGGCAAGACTTTCTTTATATATTTATTTATGTAGTTACTTCATGTAGCTGACACAACTAGTTTGGAATTGAGGCATAATTGATTGATCTCTTGATAAAATTTTCATTTGAACTTTCTTTTTACCAATGTATAGAGTTGCTTTTGTCTCTATATCCTCCATGTAATTCCCCTAGCTCAATTGATAATAATTTAAAGATTTAATTCCTCATTGTAAATTACTGAACTCTGTTGTTATTTTTCATCTTATTCACTATTCTTTGTTGCTTTGATTGACAGATCACTCATATGGAAATGATAAAAGGAATTCAAGGGCATGGTTACTATGACGAACTTGTGGTTCCTATCATAGAGAACACTGCATATGAGAGAGAACTCACAGAATCTCTTGCTGAAGCTGTATGTGTCTCCCTCTTCTAAAAGTCACACCCTTCCATTGTGCATCTGCGCTTGTTTAGTTTTTTAGTGCTGCTTTAACTTAGTTTTTAGATGCTTTTACTGGAACTTCTGTAAGTACATCAACTCCATTCCTGTTTTTGTTTGACTATGATCACCAAACATTGTGCTAACAGTTTCCACTTGCAAATTCAATGTCTTGTGGCTCTGATCACCAAAACCTGATGATTCTATCCTTTGAGTGACACATCTCTATGAAAGTATTGAACTTTTTTCCATGTTGAACAGATCAAAGCTTACCCAAAAACAACAGCTGTGCTGGTCCGCAACCATGGTATATATGTATGGGGAGATTCTTGGATCAGCGCTAAAACACAGGTTTGTGTCATGAATTATATCAGGAGGGGAGGGGAGGGTTTGATATGGTTAGGTAGCAGATTTTAGAACTAATAAGATTAACTTAACTTGTGTTAGTAAGTTAAGGATGACCTCTGAAGGAGTTTCTATGTACATCTTGTAGTCTACTTAAGAATGTACATATGGAAACAGTCTTCAGATCAATTAGTTTAATGTATCTGAGATGTATGTTCATTTGGCACTCTTCTAACTGACATACTATCTTCCAGTCTGAGTGCTACCACTACCTCTTTGATGCTGCAATTAAACTTCATCAATTAGGAATTGACTGGACAACACCAGCTCATGGTCCCATTCAGAATGCAAAAATATCTGCACTTGCTCCAAATGGCAGCATAAAGTCATCAAGGGTAAGCACCTCAACAGTTTAGACTATTCTCTTACTTTCTTGAAATCTAAAGATTTACGTTTATGTGCCGTAGGTGTTTCCATTGAGTTCTTATTGTTGTCTGCATTGTGATTTTTATACTTTCTTGCAGCGGTGCATCGTTTTGGATATCGAAGGAACCACTACCCCAATATCATTTGTTTCTGATGTTCTATTCCCTTATGCACGTAATAATGTTGGGAGACATTTGGATGCAACATATGATTCAGCAGAAACTCAACAGGATATTAAGTTATTACGTGCTCAAGTAAGTAAACTTACAGAGAAAATAGCTTTGTGAAAAAGGTTTTCAAAAGAGTTGAGCATTTTTCTTGGAAAATTTTTTGGTGAGATGTTATTATGTCGTAATGGTGATGTCTATTTTGGAGAACATTAGGAAGGTTTAACAGAATTTTTGGGTGTAACTGTAACAAACCTGAAAAGTTTATGAGAAATCCAAATCTGGATTGCTAAGGTTGTGCCAGGCTAGGAATGACATCCAACCTCCTTGGAGCTGCTGAATAAGTTCTGCCAAATGGCCCACAGAAGTGTTATCCACAATTTAGTCATTTTGTCTTGTTTTCCTTGGCGTGTTAATGGATGGATTAGAAGTGTCCACATTTGGCATTTAATGCATCGTAATTCATGAGTTAAAGAAAAAAGACTATCACTACATTTCTTCTTGGTAATGCCGTGATGCTGATTTTTTATAGGAATATTTTCTGTTTCAATTACCAAATTGCCTACTTTTATATGTGCTTTTCTTTTCCTATTGGATCAGTTGCTCATGTGGTCTCATGAATTTCGTGTTAGATAACATTAAACACCCGTTACAATTTACATCAGCACCACCTATTTGAATTTTCTGATAGCAAGATAAAAGTTCTTTTCATAAACACTAATTAGCATATTGTGTCTTTGACCTTTGCACGCAATCATACATACTTCTATTCAGAATTTGATTGCTGGAGCTATGTTTACTATGCTTTGTCTTTCTCTGAAACCAGTGTAAAGTGTAAAGTGATGCTTGAAAGGACATTAAGAAATGGCAAATATATCAGATAGGGGTCATTTTGTTTGTTGATTGCTGAGAAGAAAGGCGCGGGGGGAGGGGGGAGGGGGGAGGGGGGAGGGGGGTTTTGTAGGTGGGTGTCTGGCATGAGTTTGGAAAAGCGGAAGCTAATCCTGATCCAATTTGAGGGTGTTCATTACAGGGTCGCAGTGTAGATGTGTGGTCATACATTGAGTCCATTAGCACACAAGATGCTCTAGTAATTTCTCCTTACTAAGTCATCATTTGGTGTTTTTCACATAAAACTGTCTGCTTTCAAATTTTAAAAGTATAAAACAGTACAGATCCGTTGTGCTGTTTTTTTTATTTTTTAATCTTACCTCCTTTGTGATGTTCTTTCAGGTGCAACAAGACCTGGAAAATGGTGTTGCTGGTGCTGTGTGTATCCCAGCTGATGATGCTGGGAAAATGGAGGTAATTGCAGCTTTGGTTGCTAATGTTGAGGCAATGATTAAAGCTGACCGCAAGATTACTGCCTTGAAAGAGTTACAGGTGAGGACAGTGGTGGTGAAATTCCACCTAGGCCCCTCAAATAGATATAAATGTTATACAGTTTCATCTAATAGTTGCTTACAGTTCGTTCTTTACTTCATATTCTAATACTCAGGGACATATTTGGCAAACTGGGTTCCAGAACAATGAGTTAGAGGGACTTGTTTTTGATGATGTACCTGCAGCTCTTGAGAAATGGACCGCTTTAGGCATCAAGGTTTCATCTGTCCCTTTTTTCCGTACACTGCATTCCTCGTTTTAGTAAGCGAGAGTTCACTAGTTGTATCCAAATTTTGTTGCAAATGAAAACAATTATGATCATCGAAACAATAGCTCTATTTCTTCTTGAAATACTCCAGCGTCCTGTGTGGTTTAAATGCTTTCTTTTTCTTCTTCATTATCAGAAAGAGGTAATGCTGAAGTCTATAAGCTCCATCTTCTAGTCAGATTAACTAGTTTTTTTCTCTCAGGTGTACATATACTCAAGCGGCAGCAGATTGGCACAGAGGCTTTTGTTTGGTCACACAAAACACGGAGACCTGAGAAAATTTCTCTATGGGTTTTTCGATACAACAGTGGGGTAAATTTCTACCTTTCAGTGGGTTTTCTTATTTTGGTCCTTTTTGTCATTTGAAGTAATTCATCTGTCTTCTCCTGTTGTAGCAACAAGAGAGAAACAAAAAGTTATGCAGAAATTACAGCGTCGTTGGGAGTAGATAATCCATCAGAGATTTTGTTTGTGACAGATGTCTATCAAGAAGCCACAGCTGCAAAGGCAGCAGGTAATGTCATGCTCATTTTATATGAAAACAACTCTATATTTGATATTTGTTAGCTTTCTCACTCTTCAATTGAAACCAAATACTAGCTGAAAAAGTAGGTTGGTATTTAAGTGGAGAAAGAAAGAGGGACATGTGCATTATCCACGGACTCCGAGTTCCAAACCATGTGCCAATGCCTTGGGGGATTTCTCGGTTATTAAAAAAAAAGTAGCTTGGCCAAGTTGCCTATTTAGGATGTTAGAACTTCCATTTTGGTGTGATTCCTCCTCTCAATCCCAACAATTAGGAGCTCATCTAGACAAATTTGTGCGGCTGGAGCCTGTGTGATGTTTCTTATACTAAAGGCTATACTTCACCAAAAAGATGTGCATATGCTTCACTAACATTGTTGCCCTTTCTCCTCCTTCAGGTTTGGATGTGATAATCTCCATCAGACCTGGAAACGGACCTCTTCCAGATAATCACGGGTTCAGGACAGTCAAATCATTTTCGGAGATCTAAAGATGGAATGTGTTATTCTATAAACATCTTCCATGTATTGTGTAACATTAACATAATAAAAGCAGGTTGGGAGTTGATCAATTGTCAAAAAGTAGAGCCAATTGAGTCACAATATGCTGCTCTTACCTACTTTCTGCGTGTTCTGACTTATGATTAGTGTCAACTAGTCTTCTTTTTCTTGTTGTATTGAGATGGTAATAGTTTTATCTTGTGAGAACTATTGTTGGAGATTTATGTTTTCATAGTTCCATTTTCAAAGGCTAGCTTGCATGATTTCTATTCATCCAATATATATCAGATCGAATGGAACTCGCGAAAAAGTAGTGAACACTTTGTTGAGGAACGGAACTTCTGCTCTTTCTCTACTAGTATGGTCTCAATAGGTCCCATGTGTTAGGCATGTTTGTTCACTCTTAAGTATTCGTGTTGTATACATGTTTCAATTAACTGGAATCGAGTGAGTGTAGAGGAAGGATTGATTTTCAATTTGTTCACCCCATTTACCTATTGTCAAAGCACTTTCTTGAAATTGTAATTTCTATCGAGACAGGAAGGAATGAATTAAAAAGCAAATGATCTTGTTCTTTTTTTTTTTTTATAGTTTTTCACTTGGTATCCGGTGTTTACTGGAGTTCAATTATTTTGGATTCAGTCCACGTAGGACTCTATTTGGGGGAACGGCTCGATCAAGGATTTTTCCATACTCGTTTGAGCCTGAAACCCTCTGGTTAAGAAGCAATAACAACAAATGAGACCCTATCAATAAAAAAAATAATTATTGTTTAAAAGAAACGATTTGAATAGACTTTTTTAGAAAAAGAAATGAGTATTCGATAGTTAAATTGGAGTCGGATTAAATTTGAATTTGGTTCTGTATGTATATCAATGAGAATGGATAAGAGCCTTACTTCTTTTCTCCCCCAACCTGTCCCCGTGTCTCTCTTTCCGTAATTTAGGGTTTGATCAGCACCATGGATGTTGAGGCAGCCGAGTTCCAAGAGTGGGAGATGATTCCCTCGACCCGAGCATCTGACTCGGAACCGTTAACTCCGGATGGTTCAGCCGGAAACACCAACTGTGTCGATGAAGTTGGATCTGAGACGATCGGTGTGATTCAACCCAATTACTTCTCTCTAGACTCTCAAATCAGGTATATGGGTACGTTTTCTGCGGATGGAAGCGAGGAGGACTCTGAAAAATCGGATAATCCGAGTTGGATTGAGCCCGATTCTGAAAACAACGAGTTTATCATGAAGAATTCTTGCGAATTCTGGTCGGATTCCGGCAGTGAGGGTAAAAATGAATTGGGTTTTGAAGAGATGAAAAGTGAAAATGGTGAAGAATTTAGGCCGGATTCTGTGAAATTTGGTGCTGGAGAAAATAGTCATCTGCAACAAGTTTCTGTTGAAGAAAATCAGGAAAAGGAAAATGGAAATGTTGAAGGTGAACAGAGGAGGGATGCAGGGGACCAAAAGAAGAGCCTAGTGTGGTGGTGGAAGGTTCCAATACATCTTGTCAAGTATTGTGCTGCTTTTAGAGTTAGCCCTGTGTGGACATTTTCTGCTGCTGCTGCTGCTATCATGGCTTTTGTTATTTTGGTTCGTAGGTTGTCTAAGATGAAGAAAAAGACCAAGGCATTGAAGCTCAAACTAACTGTGGATGACAAGAATGTATCTCAGTTCACAAACCGTGCTGCACGCCTTAACGAAGCATTCTCTATTGTGAAGCGGGTTCCTCTGATTCGGCCACAGTTGCCAGCCGCTGGAGACATAGTGTGGCCTCAGATGACTTTGAGATAGGCTGTAATATTTCCCCATTTGATATGTTGTGTCGCTTCTGCGATTGTATAATCTACTATGTTTACTGCTGTTGTTTGATCTCAAACCTATGTATATTCACTGGCCAAAGAAATTGCTTGCTTATGCTTCTTTATAAAGAAAGCTGCTGTTTGATCTCAAAGGTGGTTTTGCTTGTACCTTAAATCTGGTAAAATTTCCCAATTTCTATTCCAAGATTTGATTTTTATGGGGTTCATCATGTTTTGATTGCTGAATCCATTACACAATTTGAAATGTTGGATTCAAACTTTGATCTTTATTGAATTTCTCAGTACTTTGTACATATATATCTATATTTCATGTTAAAAATGTCTTAGGATCAAATCCCAGTAGAGACAAAAAAAAATACTAGGTGATTTCTTCTGATATGTCCTATCCTTGGTGTAGAGTTACTTGGTAGTTGATACATGTTGTTGTTGGGAGGTGGCACGATATGAAGAGGGTAGAGTGTACGCTGACCTTCCTTCTACCTTTGCGGGGTAATATGTTGTTTCTGATAGACCCTCCACTACAAAGAAATGCAATCGGTGCAGGAAAGTAAGGAAGAAATAGAGAACAAAATAGCAAATATACAAAACAAGTGTAACAACATATATTGACACACCGAAGAAAAGAAACTACGTGATACATAAATTATACTACTAGAAGTATGATAACATTTGATTATCTACTAACCTTCTATCCTAATCCTCGACCTACATAACTAACTATCTATGGTCATGTCCTCAATCAGCTGAAGTTGTGTCATATCCTATCAATCACCTCTCCAAGCCCTGTTACAACCAATCTATCACATCTCCTCATTGGTACATCCTAGCACTTCCTCTTCATATATTCAAACCATCTCAGTCTTGCTTTCCTCATTTTATCAGCTACGAAGGTAATACCACATAAATGAGGATGCGGAAATACTTCAATTTCTTTCCATTATAGTTGGATCTTGGAACCATCAACATATCACTTGTAAATTGAAGTTTTACCAATTTGAAAAGTTGTTGGAACTAAGGTATAGTGGAAGTTGAATTGTTGTTTTTGGCTATAATTCAGAAGATAATTAAAGTTGGCATTATTCTCAGCTGTCTAAACTTCATAGTTGAATAGGGAAAAAAGATCTTTTTCTTCTATGGGGGGATAATTGTTTTGCAGTCATGCCTATTTGAAATACTGGAAACAGCCTATCTACCTTCCAAGGTAGGGGTACAGTCGACTACCCTCCGAAGACCCCATTTGTGGGATTATACTAGGTATGTTGTTGTTGTATTGTAGATTATTCTTTCACAGTGTAATTGTTATGTTATCTGTAGTCCTGTCTTTGTTTTTGGCTAGCTCAACGAACTTAGCATATTTCATTTCTCTCAGGTTGACCTCGGTATCATCTTACTATTTCTCTGCTGCCATCTTAAACTTATTCTCTCTCTCTCTCTCTAAATAATCTAGTAACAGCCCAGACCCAGGATTATTAGTGTTGTAGCCTGCAATTTCTCAGATAAAGCATGATTCCTTTGGAATGGAGCGTGTGATCTCATATTAGTTGATCTATAAACGAACTCTCTATTTTCTTTTTGATTGACTATTCTACTTCACTGGAGGGCCAGCGTCCAAGGACCTGCCATACCACTGATCTCACTTAAGCACTTGACGTCAGAAATAGCAATAAGAAGAGCAGGGTTAAGGATCACTCACGTCACGGGCTCTAAGTTTCTTCCTTTTTTTTCTCCTCAGGCATATGTGATGCTTAATGCTGGTGCCGTTAGGCACAGTCATGGAATGGAATCCTGCCTTGTAACAATGCTCAATCCACCAGCAAAAGAATCCAGGTAACTATGCTACAAACTTTTTTGAAGTTAAACACAATCTTGATGTGATGCCGATATATCCTTTTGAGTCATCAAGAAAAAAGAAAAGGGAACTTGGTAGGCTGAGCTCCAAATGTTCAATACAGTCCAACGCCCATATAATGCTGACTAATGATATTTTGGCTTTTTATTTGGGAGTATAAGTTTTCTTTCAAATAAAGATACTTGTGCTTTTCCTAACATCACATGAAATGTAATCCTAATGCATCTTCCCTTTGCCTGCAACTGTATAGGCCAGACTTTATATATTTGTCTATGTAGTCACTTCATGTAGCCGACACAACTAGTTTGGAATTGAGGCATAATTGATTGATCTCTTGATGTAATTTGCATTTGAAACTTTCTTTTTTTCCAATGTACAGAGTTGCTATTGTCTCTATTTCCTCTACCTAGTACCCCTAGCTCAATTGATAAAATTTTAAAAGATATCTAATTCTGCATTGTAAATTATTGAAACCTATTGTCATTTTTCATCTCATTCACTATTCATTGCTGCTTTAATTGACAGATCACTCATATGGAAATGATAAAAGGAATTCAAGGACATGATTACTATGATGAACTTGTAGTTCCTATTATCAAGAACACTGCATATGAAAGCATATAGAGAACTCACAGAATCTCTTACTGAAGCTGTATGCCTCTCCCTCTTCTAATGTCACACCTTCCTTTGTGTATCTGCACTTGTTTATGTTTTGAGTTCTGCTTTAACTTTGTTTGTAGATGCTTTACTGGAATTTTATAAGTACGTTTACTTCATTCCTGTTTTTTGTTTGGCTCTGATCACCAAAACATCAAGGCTTACAGTTTCCCATTTGCAAATTAGCAAAATACTTGTATAGCTATCACTCATTCAATTTCCCAATATTATCATCACAAAATCTGGTCACTGTCTGTGATTCCTATTCACTGCTGAAGTTGTAACAGTACATGGAAGGAAGCAGACCGGTTTGGCTTAATAAAATATTCGTAAAGCATTGATTGCAGTAGATATCCTGCCCCTATAAGAAGAGGAAAATTTATAGAATAGTTCTTCTCATTTATAGAGCTGTTGTAACAACACATGGAAGAAAATGGCTTAGGTTCCTTTTTACATTTTTATTTTGGCCTCAGTTCCCAAAGAGGGATAGGCCATTAAGCGAACGGCTGGCTTAATTTTAAGAAGTTATGTCAAGCTATTAAGATTGGCTGCAGAACATACTCTACCTTAAAAGATAGGAAGAAGTCATAGATTCCTTTTTCTTCCCTTCATCTTTGGAAGCCTACGGTGGATAAGCAGTGGGAACACTTTCAGCATGATGATGCTTGTACTTTCCACTAGATTAGTCTTTTATCTGCTCTAACAATTTCATTAATTTTGATTACATGCTATTGTATCTGTATGACTGGTAACTGAAGTGTAAATTGATCTTGTTTTGGCAAGAAAAATAAACTAAACTAATTGCATGGGTAAAGAGATGTTCACCTTGCACGGAGAGCTCAGACCTACTAGCTCTTCCCTTGAGGTGCTATCCACAACTTCGGGTTAGTAAGAGCAATCTTGATCTAGTTTCAAATTCCTTGT